CTGTTGTCAGACATGAGACAGTGCCCACTGCCCCTCAGAGGGCTGCCTGTGTTCAGTATCCCCTGCACACCCTGCTGAATGGGTGTGCTATGGCTGATTTCTCACCATTCCTTGGCAGGGGTGACTGGTGCAGGGTCCTGACACCACACCTGATGCTTAGCTCCTTCAAGAAACTGAGATGTTTAGCCTCAGAGAGAAAGGCAGGAAGGAGCTTCCAATGCAGGGTAAGCTCTGGTGTCTCTAGTTCCCTCTTGATTGGGCTCTGCCTTCTGGATTGAGGAGATCTGATTTGCCTGAGGGTAATTTGTTCATCTTGTTTCATGGGGCTGATCAACACCAGCGTGTACCTTGTGTGTCAGAGAAAGGTATTTGTGTCTGTGCCCTATGTGGTGTTTTGTGGAGGAGGGTATAAAACACTTCCCTCGCTTTTCATGAAGGATATCTTGGTCCAGAACTTGGGCATTGAGTTTATCTGTGAGAAGTGATCAGATTAAACGGGTTTTCTTTGCAGACAGAGCACTCAAGATCTCTAAACAATACAGTATAATGATATAGTTATTTTCAGATGACAATGTCTAAGCACTTGAATGACTTGCTGGCTACTCATTCTGTGCTGGAGATTTCCTGCACTTCAGCATGTCCGTACCTTGCTGTGCCCTTTAGTTTATTTAGCTGAAAACAATGACTTATAGCAGCTTTCTGGTAAGATAAACACTTACCTGTGCCCAAATATAAACTCCTTCAGCTTTCCACTGACTGACACAGAAGGTTACCTGTAAAATTGTACTAGAGAAATTCAAATGTCGCACTCTATAGAAAAATAAGACATCCATGCTGAACATCACAAATAGGGAAATTTAGACATTTACAGCAAGAACAAGCTCGGCTGATTGTGGATATTTCTGAGGATGCTTTCTAGCTTTGTCCCCTCTCAACAGCCTAGTCAGGACTGAACCTCCTACTTGGGTAGATGAAAGCTCCTTGTCTTTATTCCTGAGCAGTGAAGGCTAGCCAACATTGATAACTGTATTCAGTATTCAATAAATGGTGTTTATTGTTGTTGGAAAAAAGTAATTCCCCTTCTGGCAGTGAAGAAGGTGTGATTTGTAAATAGAGGTCTGGGAGCAGCGCTGTGCCTGCAGATACAACCAGGGTTTGACAGAAAGGCAGCAGAGCTGGATTACGGACATGTCATTGTGCAGGAACAGAACAGCCCTGTCAAAATGCAGACTCTGCTTGTTGGAGCCGCTGCCCTGGATGAGACCCTGCAGAAAGCAGATACTGTGCAAAATGCCTCATATATCATAACTCCCAGCCATGCTTACTGAGGGGGAATTCTCCAAATTATGTGGGATGGGAAAAGCATGCCTAACAGCTTTGGTATCATTTCAGATGTGAAATATTTTTAAGAAAAATACCGTGTATTGTCCATGTTGTAGAGGCTGAGATGCTCACTAAGGCTTGTCACACAGGTCACAGCTGTTTTCCTTTGAACAGATGACATTGCTTCTACAGAGATCAGTGTTCTTCCAAAGCATTGCCACTCACCTGGCATGCTTTTGTTGGTTTTCAGCTCTCAGGAGACTCTGCTTTGCTCTGATCTCCCACCTGAGGTTCTCTTTGTCATTAATTTCCTCTGGAACAGCAACACCTGAACTACAAACTCAGATGCTGGAAGAGCTGGAGGAGCATTTGGGATTGTGCCACTTGCTCTGTTGCTGCATTTTTCCCTGAGCATCTCTGGCCGCAGTTGGAGGTATGGACACACATCTATCCTGGCAATGCTGTTCATTTTGAGTTATTTTTGTTTTTATTTTCTATCCCACCATTTTGCCACCTGATCTCTGTGCTGATAAGCTGACTGAGGACATACCTTGGCCTCTTCCCTAACTTGAGCCTGGCAGCATATATATATATATGGATATAGATAGATAGATAGATAGATAGATAGATAGATATGGATATAGAAAAGGCAATGAACATTTCAGGTACCAGTCCCTGGCTGTGAGTTTATGCAGCAACCCCTCAGGAGAAGCCTTCCTTTCTTAAATATAGGATCCTCACAGTAACTGCAGATATTCTGCATTGTCCCTCACAGCATTTATCTCCATGATAATGCAGCCAGTTTCCTGCCCTGAACCTGACAGGCCCACTATTTAGGCAGGATATAGATGTTCAGTATGTTTTAATCTGATCCTCTCAAATCAATCCCAGAAGCCTCCCAGACATTTCTGCTGCCCTTCTCCCAGGGCCATGCAGTCTGTTGATACCCAGCCTCCTGCTGGGGACTTAAAAATGTTTATGTGTATTTTTAACCAAGCAGCTCTTCACTGAGCTCTTGGAGAGCAGCAGCTGAAGGCTGTGTGCATGGAGGTGTACAAGGAGGGGAAAACGGAGGAAGATCCACCAGGATGTTTGCTGTCTCTGCCTGACCCCATTGAGGACCTGTTCAGAGCCCATGTCTTGTTTTGAGCCTGTCACCTCAGTCTTTGGGGAGCTGCTGGAACAGGCTGGGAACAGGCTGTGCTAGTGCCAATGGCGCTGCACAAAAAGGCATTCACAAATAATGAAGCTCTGAAACACCCTGAACATAAGTGTCAGCAGCTTGAATTGGGGTCAGTTGTGCTGTGGTGAGAAGCAGGCTGGGCTGGGGGAGCAGGGAAGAGACGTCCCCCTCTTCTGCCTGGCTGGGGGAAGGGGCTTTCAAGGCAATGGGGAGCAAACCTGCTCCTGCTGACTGTCCCTGGGAAAGCCAGGTTCGGGCAGGGATCCTTAATCCTGCTGCAGATCAGGGTCTGGTCACCCTGGTTGTCTTCAGATCTCATGTAGATACCCAAAAAAAGCATCCTCCCAGCCACAGAGCTTGGCTTCCTGAGGCTGCTGCAGCAAACAGATGCTGCCCAGAGCAGCAGTTCATGTAGCCTTCTGACTGTCTGCAGTGCCTGGGACAAGTTGCCACCGTGCTCTGTGCCTCAGTTTCCCCTTTTCTATATTGGGATAATATACCAAGGGAGGGAGGAGGTGAGGAAGGATGTTTGTGTCATTTTGGCTGTGGCTGCCTGAGGGGCTGCTGCTCCCAGAGAGTGAAAGGAGGTTAGTTTTGAGACTAAGGCAGAACGATATTTGTCTTTGCCATTAAGCTAGTGGCTGTCTCTGGCCACATGATGACACCTCCTAATGGTGTTCCCTTAAAACAGGACAGCAGATCCCACCACGTACCAAACAGCACCAAGGGCTTTTTAAGCTTAGCTCTGTACTAGCCAGTCTGCGGTCCCCATTTTAGGATGCCATGCCTCTGGCTAAAGGAAACTCTTCGAGCTGTAAGGACCCACCACAGCAAGGTTTGTAAAATACTGGCTTTCTGAGGGCTGTACTTGCTTTGTGAGTCACCTCTGAGGGAAGAAGATAAGATTTTTAATGCTAAACTGAGTGGCAGCAAACCCTGCCTCTGCCTCCCAAGTACTGAATAGCAACTAAGCTGCTAAAGGATTTTGCCAGCAAAATTGCTCTGCAGTGCAGGATGTAGGATTGAGCCACCATTGCTACCTGCTCTAAGATATGAGGTGCAGACCTGAGAACATTTGGGATATAGTGTTGCTGTTCTTCACACTGGAATGGTTAGTGAGAGTGGAGATACCAGCTGGATGAGTGTTCAGGATTCTTACAAGTGTAATCACCAAATGCTATCTCCTGAAACCCTGGGGCTGCTTTGCAGCAAATTAAAGAAGAGAGCACAAGCCCATATGTTATGTCATTGGTCAAAGCGGGGAGAACAAATTAAAGTGCCCATTTTAGCACACTGTCACAGCTGTGCTCTTCTCAAGCCAGTCCTGAGAAGCCACCTATCCATGCTTGATGGTGGGGAAAGCACCTGGCCCAGCAACAGCCAGTTAGCCAGAAGTAGAGGAGCTGGCTAAGGCTTCCTGTTGAGGAAATCTTTGGATGACACCTTGGCAAAGACCGAGGGACAAATGTGAGCCCCAAACACTCCCCACTGAGCAGTGTTAGGTGCCTTTCATGGCACTGTCATGTGCCAGGTGAGAGGGGGCTGTGACCTACACAATGGGGCTTTTTAGGGCTCGGTGGCTGTGGGTGTCAGGTGTTTAGTGGGATTTGTTCACTGTTGATTACGACTCTGGGTTACCATCAGAGAGTGAACCTCGAGAACCTGCAGGAACAATCTTCAGCTGCTTCCCTGCAAATCCAGGCAGCTGCTTAAAGAGCCTGTAGTGGTTTTTGAGCAGTACGTATGTGTTAAGTTTATCATGTTACTGTTAAGCCTTGGTGCACTCTGGAAATGTCTGGCATTCTTATTCTTCTGTTAGCAAAATGAGGTTCAGGAAGTTTAAGTGACCAGAATTCCAATAGATTTCTGCATGAAGAGAAGGGGGAAAGGGGAGTGTGTTGTCATGGCTTACAAGAGGCATTAGAAGTGATGATTGGATGTTCTTTAACAGTGCTTCTTCTATATTTCTAATATAGTTTTTCTAATATAAACGAAATTGGAAATTAGAGAAAATGTCACTTCAGTATTAATATATCACAAGAATCAAGTCACTCAGAGGACACAATCCCTCCAATACATCTACATAGATGCTGAGTGTATTTAACTGTTTCAGCAGAATACTGTCTGTTGATTCTAAATATAGTGATCCTTTCTTTTAACCTTGTTTATAATGGTTTATTTTTCACATGAGATGACTGAATTAAATTAAATCACACCAAATTTAGCTTATTTGATGTTTAGGATCTTAGACTTTGAAATAAGGTCAGCCTGTGTTATGCATGTTTCTGGGTGCCCCTGGACTATTCCTATGTGGTCCAGAGCTGAGAAAAGTCACTCTGTTGTCAAATTCAAGTCTACCTGTCTTCTGAAAAAGTTCAAAAGTTCTTATGGATCCACAGTCAATAAAAGGCTGCAAATGATTGTTATAAAGGGCTGACTGCTTTAAGACAAAAGAACTCCTTTCCTTTTCCAGGTGAAAACTTGTCACACAGATGAAGTGTTTTCCTGAAGGTCCCTCAGAAAATGTAAAGCAGAGACAGGTGATGAACCCAAGTCACTTGACATCCCACCCTAGCCAAACTGCCTACCTGCATTATGGGAAACTCAGCAAGAAACAAGGGTAATGAAGCTGCCCAGCTGCCTGGAAAAATGACTCTGCTGCTATACAGCAGGTAATCCTTTAGATTTAAGAAATGGCATAACTTGTAAGGAGGAAGTTTACAAAATATGTCATCTGAAGACACTGCCATGTTTAATGCATTTGGTGCCGATGATTTTCTTTCCCTTGCTATACTGTTTACAGAGCAGCTGGTGCAGAGATGTTGAGCTGCTACTGAAGATGAAAGGCTGGTTGTTTTTCAAAGTCCTTTGTGCCTGTTTGCTCCTAACTGGAGCTGTCAGTGTAGATGCTTTTTATTTCCTTTATCACTATAGGTCTGAAGTCCTGTCTTTAAAGATTTCCTCAACTCAAAGGAAGATTTCTTTTACTCTAAGTCCCAAAAGACCTGGAGGGTCTTTGCTCTTTTGTTTGGGCTGAAATCTCCACAGGCAATGCTAGTGCCTTCGAAGGATTGCTGAAAACCTTTAACCCCCAGCCAGCCAATGTCCCATCTGAAGCCCTTTGATGAAGGCAAGAGGAATTCAGTCTGTTCTGCTCATTTCTGTGGCCTGGGAATGAGAAAACCCCTCTTGAACTATATAGAAGCAATGGAAAACTTCCAGTGATTATTAGTTAGTTGTGTTTACAATTGTACACAAAGGATGGAACTTCCCCCCTCAAAACAGCCGTAGAGAGCATGTGTTAGATACTGTACAAACCCTCACAAAGAGATGCTTACTCAAGTTGTTTAAAAGCCAAGTAATCAAGGCAGCAGAACCTTCCCCATTCCAAAACCGAGGCACTGAAGTTATGGGAGGTCAAGTCACTTGCCCAAGATCATGACAGGAAGATAAGACACAGCTGAGAACTGAAACCAAGGTGCTGCTTTGATACCCTAACAACATGATTTTCCTCTTGTGTTCCATCTCTCATGCACTGAAGTAGGCTGAATTACAGGATTTTCTCTCTTTCCTATAGTCTGTTCTGTTACTTTGGTGAAGGAGCTATCTTAGAAGTCTCTTTGATCAGTCACTAAATCTGTATGATCTCACTTTTTTAGAAATGTTTTAGCCAATGAGTTTCTCTCAGAGACAATCTAGTTGGTCTGTAATGGCAGTCTGAGGGGCTGCCCATTCCAAGCACGCAGCCTTCCCACCCAGCCTGCACCAGCAGGGTCATAAGTCAGTCAAACCAATGCTCCCACATGGCAGCATCACCCAGATGGAAAGCAAATCTATGCAAATCTCATAACAAAGCTGTACTGAAAAGAACTGGATCCTGAGTGTTCTTGAAAGCCCTCCCCATCCATGCATTCAAGTGACTTTCTGACTGATTAAATGCTCTTCAGCTAAATGCACTTTTCATCTGTAAATGTGTTTTCTGTTAACGATTCACAAAAGTGAGTGAAACTGGTATTTTTCATGTTGCGCAGTAGCCCTGCTGCCAGCACCCAGCCCTTGCTGACCACAGCTTATGGCCCTGGAGAGGAGCTGCAGCTGAGCTGATTGTGAGCTGTGTGGGGCTGAAAAGTCCAGAGTCCAGCCACCCTCATCTTGGCTGAATGAGAGAGAAACAGTTCCACAGTCATGTTGACAATGGCCAGAGTGGATGGATCTTGCTCTCCTTGTGGAGCAGTTTGAACACCGGGCAAGGAGTGAACCAATACTGGGTGTGCTGAAGTCAAAGGAAGAATATCTCTAGATGAATTTCCAGTTTTAATGTTCTCCATTTAGCAGAATGATGGCACCTGGACACTGGGAGATCCAAACAACTATCTGCTTGCTCATATGAAATGTCTTCTTCCAGTTCTATTTTTTGGGATATTGCGTACACAGCAAACCCCATGCAGAATGCACACAAACTTCTTCCTCCTGTACATCCATGTGTGAGCTACTTCTTTGCTGTTAGTGATTACCCATTACACAATTGAGATTAGACATGCAGGAGTGTGAGGAGGGTGACATTGCTGCCAAAGAAAACTTGTGTTCTGCATCTTAAGTATCAGGTCACAGGAAACTGTGAAGAGTAACCAAAATGCATATGCCTACCACTGAAGGTGGTGACAGGCTCTCAGTAGGGGACATAGTTCTTCCTCTCATTGTTATATTTGGAAAAAAATGCACAACATCACTGCAAAAAAACCATTCCCCAAACCCAAAAGATGGCAGCAGTCACACCATAAGTCTGTTCAGAACTGAAAAGTTAATGTGAATCTTTTAGTCCTACAGCATTGCCCCCACTTTGCTTTCTCAAAAAGCTTGATCTAAGAATGGCACAAATTCTCTACCTGATTTTGCTACCAATTTTGCTGATTTCTACTTTTAAAAGGTTTTCTTGATTTTCATTTTGTAAATTTTAACATTGTCAAAAAATATCCCAAGTGCACTAAATATGTTATCTCTTGCCACAGAACCCTTTTGATAATTAAGAGATTGATCATCTTCAGCAACAGACATAAAAGTTTAAACAGTACATAACTGTTCTTTGTACTAATGCAATAAAAGTGGGTTTACTTTTACAGTGGTAAATTTAGCAGCAATCTAAATCAACACCCTGTTGATAATCACACAAATCATCCTTTAAAGAGAAATGCAGTGCAAGTGAGCTTGTTAGTATTATGGGCACATTATTGTCTTTACTTTCCCCAATCAGCTTTTATTCATGCTTTTACAATAGGTGTAAATTTTTATATTTCCTTAGGCAAGCAGACGAATGAACTGAACATCCAGAAGATTACTTAAAATAGGTTATGGGGATAAGAAATAGACAATCCTGTACAAAGTGTCAGTGGATTAGAGTGCTGAGTTCTGCCAATGGGCAACTCTGCTCTGCTGGGGCTGACAGGCAGCTGAAAAAGAAAACCTTGACTGGGGGGTGTTCAAAGTGTGGCAGCGTGTTTTCTGTATGGATGTGTTAGGGAATTTGGGAGGGAGAATGCTGGGGAATAATTTCTGCTGTATGAGGTGTTGAATGGTGTCTGAAAAGGACTCATCTTGCATGAGGTTGAGGACTTGCTTCTATGTCAGGCCCAGGCTCCCTCAGCTGTGCCTTGTCCTTCAGTCATGACCAGGTATAGGAGAAGTGAGAGAGATTAGGGAAATGGCTTTGTACCTTTGTGACAAACACTGTGCACAGAGAATAGCAACTCTAGAAAGCTCTGGGTTTGATGCTCTCCAGCAGTAACAAAAATGTAGGGCAGTCAGTTTTATTTTTCCAACTTGACAACGTTGCTTAAAAAAAGTTGAAATAAATCACTGAGATATTTCTGGGCTAAAATTTCATGAGTGCTCATGGCATGGAAATGCTTGTTGCTCCACATGACACTGTTTCCAAGCTTAGACAAACAACATGGTGGCTGCTCACACTTGCATTGCTTCCAAGGCGGAGCTTTCATTTTTCCGCTTTTCTAGGTTCAGCCAAAGGACCTGGGTCAGTCACAGGATGCCCATTATGCTTCTCTCTGGAAACTCCAGATGGATTTATGCTTGTGGTTGATCTCAGGATCACTACTTTCGTTATATCAGGAGTGCAATTCCTGTTGGCTCTGAGAGAATCTGTTCAGCTGAATAACTAGACAGACACGTTAATAATGATCCTTTTTGCTCCTTTAATGTCTGGATCGTCCCTTGCTGTCCTCTTCTAAAACAATACCACTCTAAAATCAAACACAATGTGTATGCCACACACTGTGTTGGTCCCACCTGACTAGGGACAGCTGTTCTGTGTGCGTTGCTGCACAGTGGAAAATGCTGAGGTCCTGAGGATGACCCATCTCAAATAGGCGTCACTGTCCCATGTTTTCCCTTCTGCAGCCTTTCAAACCACCCTCCTATCTGCCTGCTGTTTTGTAAACTCTTGTGAAATTCGGTTGCAAAGTGCTACCACTCGAATTTTCAAGCAAAAGGAAAGAAACGGTGGTGCCAGATTCAGTGCAATATGACTGAAGGTGGTGACATGCATTACATTATTGTTGGCCTTTTTATCTCTGGTCTTCTCTTTTTTTTATGACTAACAAGATGACAGTAAGTCAGCTCAGGTTGACTGCTCCTTGCCTGAAGGGCTGTGAGAGTGTTTCAAGAGATGGCTGTATGATGGCGTCCCAGACATTTTAAATGTTAAGCCTTGTATGTTTGCCAGTCCAGAAAATTCCTCCTAAATCAGTTCTTAATAGTGCAAGTTCAGATCCTATGGTAGAAACAGCCTCCTTTGGTGGCAACAGCCTCCTTTGCAACCAACAGGGGTGGACTCAGCCATGATCTGGTTTCTGCGGCCTCATCGAATGTGCAGAATCACCCATTTCCGTGGGCAGGGGCTGCACCTTCGTGAGTCGCTCAGTCAAATGGTTCTTCCAGCAATGGCAGGATGGCTGTGGCAGCCTGGTTTGCTTTGTCCTGGAGAGCTGGGACTCCAGAGACTGCTACCTCATATTTGCTGCGGTCACCGACAGATGGGCATGGCTTTGATATCTGCTTGCTTTTTCCTTGGGAACCGAAATGGAATCATTAGCTCATTTTAGGTGGGCTTCTAGATTGCTGCTGAGAGGCAGTGGAATTGCATTGTTACCAGTGGGGAAACGCAGGGCTTATTACCTTACCCATTAGGGCCAGAATGAGCACTGAGACTCCCACAGCTGACGGAAAGGGAAAAAGACCAGGGATCAAGAGTCTTTGGATCGATATTGAACACAGAGGCAAATCCATCTGTCAGGTGACAGGGATAGCCCTCACCATGGTTCTGGAGTGACTGGGAGGATGTGACACAGGATTATTATATTAATTATTAGGTCGAACCAGCTCAGGGGTGTGTGGGGAGAGGAAGGACAGTTCGAATCCCACGGAGATGATGTCCTGTCACTCAGGACAGCCCCTGCGAGTCTCCTGGGGTGGCCCCGGAGCAGCTGTCACTCAAGGGCCCCTGGAGCCCAACACAGCCTCTGATTGGCTGGCACAGCAGGAGCTCCGCCCCCTCACCGGGCCCAGAGGTATAAAAGCAGCCACACGTGACTGCCATGTTTGGTTCTGCCCTACCACGTGGACAGTGGGACTTCACAGGACTCTCTGATGGTAGCTGTGT